AAAAACTGGCCCACAGCTGGGCACGGTGGCTCAGCCTATAATCCTAGCAGTCTGGGAGGCTGAGGTGAACAGATCACCTGAGCTGACAAGTTCAAGACCAGCCTCAGCTAGAGCGAGAACCTCGTGTCTAAAAGTAGCTGGGTGTTGTGGCAGGCACCTGTAGTCCCAGCTACTCAGGAGGCTGAGGCGAGAGAACAGCTTGAGCCCAGGAGTCTGAGGTTGCTGTGAGCTATGACACCATAGCACTTGAGGTGGGGGACAGAAAGTGAGACTCTGTCATAAAATAAATAAAAATTGGCCCAGACTTATTTCACGTGTAAATCCCAGTCTTCTACTTCTTCAGCACCCCCACCCCATTCCGGTGACTGCACCCATATAGCAGGGACAGTGTCCAGGGTTTCTACCTCCTATCTCTCTCTACCTGCAGGTTTTGCCTCTGTCCCAGGCGCACAGGTGAGTTCCTTTAAAGCCCAATCTGCATGGCTTCTACCACCAGATTAAGGCAGGGGGCTTAACTACTCTCTGCCTACTCAGGGGGGCCCCTGGCAGCATGGGTGACCCTTGTTAGACTCTTACCTCAGTGGTTCTCAGCCAAGGGTGATTGTGCCCTCTAATAGACATCTGGCAATATCTGGAGACACTTTTGATTGTCACAACAGCAGGTGGGGGTGGGGTGGTACTAGTCTAATGGCTAGAAGCCTGGGATACTGCAACATATCCTACAGTGCACAGGTCAGGTCCCCTACGACAAAGAATTATGGGTATAAAATGTGGACAGTCCAGAGGCTGAGAAACCCTGTCTTAGGTGACACAGTGGCTGTGGGAGATGCACAGGCTGGCTGGTTCACTTGTCCTTTGAGAAGCCTGAAATCAGGCCAAAAATAACAATTCTGCATTGTCTGCACGATTTGCACCCCTGAACAAAAGACTCAGAGCCACCACCTAAGCCTTAAAGATGCTGCTCCTGTGACGCATCAACCCCCATTTTTGTCTCTTCTCAGAAAGGCCCTCCTCAAAAGAGACAGTCTCCCAATAGCCCTCCTGCCAGAGTGACCCACTCACTCATTCATGGCATGACAACTGGCAGGCTGGCATCAATGTGTCCTCAAATCCTTTGGCAAGGAGGTAGAGCTGGCATGACCAGCTCCTCAATCCGGTCACGTAGACTCAAGGCCCAAGTTATTCTACAGGCTGCAGGCTGGACTCAGGCTGGGACGTTGCACAAAAGCTTCTCACTCTTCAAGAAGCAAGCATGGCTCACCCAAATGTCCCCAAACCCAGTCCTGGCCCTGCAGCATTCCTCATCACCCAAAGCACATGGAAGAACTGGCCTAGGTTTGGCAGAGGGGGCTGTTGCCCCTGTGCCATGAGTAGGAGTGAGCCAGGGAAAGGCTCAAGTTTAGGAGATTGAGCCCTAAGAGCCCCAGTGTTTGCAGAAGGAGGAGGGGCCAAGAAAAAGCGAAAGCAAAGGACCAAGAAGGGTCCCCTTCCTCAAGTTCATTCAAAATCCAACAGCTGGTGCTAGCTGAACATGTCAAACTTCTCAAACGACCCTGCAGCCTGGGACAGTTCGAGCTCCAAACACACTGCAAGAGGGTCTTGGGGTGAAGAAAAACATTACCGTGAGAAGGCGAGGCCGGAAAGCTGTATTGGCGACAAGAGGCACAGGCAGCGGGCAACGGAGCACAGGGGCTCCTGGGCAAGTTCCAGGAACCCGAGGCTCCGCACACGGCCCATCATCCCCTCCCCGAGGCAGAACCAGCAGTCTGAGAAGGGCACAGGGGTGGGAGATCCTGCAGACCTCCCACTCTGCACCTGAGGCGCGCCTAGGGCGCCCTGACACAGTAAAACTTGCCAAGAGAAAGCCACGCTATCAATTGAGAAAGACGCAAGAGGGGAAAAGGCCGGGATTGAGCCCAGGTCGGGCCACATCCAGACAGCTCCTGGGCGTGCAATGGGCCGGCGGGAGGCAGCCTTACCCGGCTGCAAGAAGCTGGGATCCACGGTCACCGTCCAGCAGCCTCCGCGCGCTCGTCGCTGCAATGATTGCCAGCACGCGCTCCGGATCTGTTTACCAACTCACCCGCGCCCGGGGCGGTCCGAACCCCGGAGTCCCGCCTCCCAGGCCGCTCCCATTGGCTGCGCCGCTGTCCCGGGCCGAACGCCGTGCGGTGTGCGGGAGCGTGCTCGGCGCGTGCTCCCGGCCCTCAGCCAATCGGAACCAAGGGCGGAGCGAGGCGAGCCAATGGAAAGCCGCTCCATGGCACAGGCCTCTCCCCTCGGTTCTTGCGTTCCGCACCTCCCGGTAGCCTTTCACCCTCTACGGGCCGCTGAAGCAGAACTTACCTCTGTAGGGTTATCTTAGCGCGCGCCTGCGCCTTGAGAACTGGCCGCTTGCAGCGGCGGCAAGGTGTGCGGAGCTGTAACCGCATGTTGGTGGGTGCTCGCCCGCTGTCCGCGCAGGCCTGGGAGGGGAAGCCGTGGACGGACTGACCGGACTGCAGAGGGTGTCGCCGCTGAAGACGGGGCCAGGCCTGCTGTCTGCTCCCCCAATGTATATACCGAGGCCCCTTTCCCAGTGTCCACATAAAGCACCTGGAGAAAAAGAAAGCCTAGGAGGCAAAGCCAATCACACTGCCACCCCCGGTGTCGCGGCCCTTCCTACTTTATCCTGTGGGCGCTGTCCTCAAAACAGGAAGCCTCCGCTGCCCGGGTTCCAAGCGGGGGCACCCCAGGCCGTGGCGGAGCTCGCGTCTAGAGTAACAAGACACTCTAGTCTTTAGGCCTTGCCTAGACAAAGTAGACCCGTGTGGCGACCCCTCGGGCCCCTATGGCCCTGGTCTCGAACAGAGCTGGAAGGAACCAGGCGTGACGCGGATTCGAAGTACAAGCTTGTAGCGAGCGGCCAGTCCTTCTTCGCAGAATAGCCCCGAGCAACCGCTAGCCTTTTATTGAGACCCTTCCACACAGGTGAGGGGAGTAATTAACAAACGACTGCGTGCTGACGTCTTCCACAAGGAACACCTGTGGATGAATGGCCCGAGGGTCCACCCTCCCAGCTGTAAATCATCTTGCTCAGAGGTCTTCTGGCTCTTGGCCTCCTCTATACACCTAGTTGTTCGGGCCCCTGTTGACAATCGCAGGACAGCCAACATGTGCAAGGAGCAAGTCCCCTCACCGGCAGGCACGTCTGCTCCTTATTGAAAGAAAAAATGAGTGAGCCACGGGCTGCCAGATAGCTTCCACTCAGATGATTCCCAAACACTGGTGGTCTGCAGCTCTGTCCAAGGTTTTTAGCGGTTCTTGTAGAAACGAGAAAAATAAGAACAAGTTAGTGAGTTTTTCATTTTATAAAATGAAATATTCAAGCCAAAAAGATTGTTCTTTTATCCTGAGACTTTTTTGGGCACCAACATTTAACTTCGTTGGAAGTTGTTTATTTTAATGTTATTACTTGGAATGACTTCAAGTTAGCTGTTCTATGTCAAGGCCTAAAATTGAGGAAGAGGGGTAACTTCTAATGAAATCCAGAAGTGACCTTAACTTAACAGTTCCTCATTGATCACTCACAGCTCGGCTTCCCAAACAAGAGATCTGACCTGGCTTGATCCAGCCACTATTCCCTAAAGAACAGAATTCTAAGTGTTGTGTGATGTGGGTGAACACAGTGCTCCTTGGACGACTCCCTTCCTGGGGGTCGGGGGGAGGCTTTCTTTAAGGAGAATGGAGACTGCGTTTTGTGGCTTCTCTGTGTATTGTGTGCAGCTTGCTTCTCCGTTCTGCACATTCACATACCATTCCCACGATCCAAATTCTGCTTCCCCCATCTTCTCCACATGAAATACAATGTAAATTTTAAGGGAGGAGTAAGACGTTATTTTGACTTAAGTTTCAAATAAATCAAGCTCCAAAATAGTACAGGTGAAACCATTCACCTTGATTAGATCTTCGACACCCTGGGTAGAGTGCGGTGGCATCATAGCTCACAGAAATTTCAAACTCCTCTGCTCAAGCGATACTCTTGCCTAAGCCTCCCAAGTAGCTGGGACTACAGGCACCTGCCACAACACCCAGCTATTTTCAGAGATGAGGTCTTGCTCTGGCTTAGGCTGGTCTTAAACCTGTGAGCTAAAGCAATCCACCTGCCTCCGCTTCCCAAGTGCTGGGATTACAGGCATGAGTCACTGCGTTCAGCCTTCAACTTTCATTTTCTTTTCTTCTTTTTTTTTTTAGACAGAATCTTGCTGTTGCCCAGGCTAGAGTGCTCTAACATCATAGCTCACAGCAACCTCAAACTCTTGTCTTAGCCTTCCCCATAGCTGGGACTACAGGCTCCCACCACCACACCCAGCTAGTTTTTCTATTTTTAGTAGAGACAGAGTCTACTAAAAAGACAGGGTCTTGCTCAGAGTAGTCTTCAACTACTGAGCTCAAGCAATCCACCCACCCTGGCCTTCCAGAGTGCTAGGATTACAGGTGTAAGCCACCTCACCCAGATGTATTTTTGTTGGTTTTTTTTTTTTTTTTAGCAAGGAGGTCTTGCTGTGTTGCGCAGGCTGGTCTCAAACTCCTGACCTCAAGCAATGCTCCTACCTCTTCCTCCCAAAGTTCTGGAATTATAAGCATGAGCCACTATGCTCAGCCTGTTTTTGAAATACGGTTTTGCTGGATATAGAATACTTAGTTGACAGATTTTAATTTTTCTTCAGCACTTTATGTCATGTCACAGCCTTATGGCCTCCAAAGTTTGTGCTGAGAAATCGGATGGTAATTGTATTAGGATCCTTATACATGATGAGTTGCTTTTTTCTTGCTGTTTATAACCTTCTTTCTGTGCTTTTGGCTTTTAACAGTTTGATTATCATGTGTCTCAGTGTGACTCTCTCTGCGTTTATCCTGTTTGGAGTTTGGTGTGCTTCTTAGAGGTTAATATTTTTATCAAAATTAAGAAGTTTTCTGTCATAGTTCTTCAAATATTTCTTTCTGTCCCTTTATCATTCTGGGACTTTTCTCCTAAG